GACTGGAAAGGCTTCACGGACGTTACTGAAAGCACCTTCACTTCCCTACCTACACCAACCGAAGTTCACATAGGTGAACGTAAATTCCGCCGGGTTGTCAGTACAGCTGCAGCCCGCTTCATTCCGCCAGGATGCATTTCGGACCCCCGTCCAAATTTTCCTGCTGAAGCGGGTGTCCTAGACGATGAGCGTGGCAACCTTCGTCAGGCCAATCCCGGAAATCCCCGTATCAGGCGTCTCAACTTGGAGATTCAGCAACCAGTGAACGTACATAAGCGGAAGAAGTGGGAAGAGCATCTGAAGACCTGCAACTTCGCCTTTGGTGTGAGTAAGCTTTGATCAACCGTGAGGTCATTGTCCAACCCAACGAAGCGCGAGCTATTTTAGCCGACAGTTCATCTGCATCCTCCGGTGAACAGAGGCAAATGTCGAGTGGCCAGAAAGCTGCACAAAGCAAGTGCTCCTCTTGTTTTCACCAGCGGCGAGGTAAGGGTAACCATCGGGAAAGCGAAAGCCTCCAAATCCTTTGGACCCGACGGAATTTGCATGCTGATGCTAAAAAATTTGGGTCCTGAGGGAGTGGACTATCTAACCAAGGTCCTCAACCTGGCTAAGGCCGCTCTCATCATTCCGGACATCTGGAATATGGGGAGAGTGGTCCCACTGCTTAAACCAAGAAAACCGTCCAACAAATGAGAATCCTATCGCCCGATAACTATCCCTTCCCCGGTAGCGAAGACAATATAGGTCCTACTCCTCCCGCACTACACAAACCACGAAGCATCAGCATGGGTTCCGTAAAGTGCACAGCACAACAACAGCACTTAAAGCCATAAATACCCAGATAACTCGTGGCCTTAACCGAAACCGCCTCTATGAGAGCAATATTATAGTAGCGTTGGACTTGTCCAAGGCGTTCCACACTGTCAGCCACTCAACGCTACTAGAAGACATAAAGACCTCCTCTCTCCCACAGGGACTCAAACGGTGGTCGGCGAATTACCTGAGAGGTCGACACTCGTCAGTAATCTTTAGAGACAAATCGAACAAACCTAGGAAAATAAAACAGGGGGTTCCACAGGATGGTGTCCTTTCCCCACTACTGTTCAACTATTACATCTCTAAGCTCCCTCAACCACCAGAGGAAGTCTCGATTGTCTCTTATGCTGACGATTGCTCGATAATGGCGTCGGAGAATGGAATTGATGACTTGTGCTCGAAAATAAACGGTTACCTCGCCGAGCTTTCTCTCTTTCTGACTGCACGGAGCCTAACCCTCTCCCTTACAAAATCTTCAGCAACGCTTTTCACCACGTGGACAAAGGAGGTCAGACTGCAACTGGGTATTCACGTCGATGACGAACCAATTCCGACGGTGAATAACCCGAAGATCCTTGGAGTAACCTTGGACACTCTGCTCTCCTTCTCGGCATATACAACATCAATTGTCAACAAAGTACAAAGCCGCAACAACGTCCTCAAGTCGTTAGCCGGCAGCACCTGAGACAAAGACAAAGAAACGTTGTTGGCAACGTTCAAGGCAATTGACCTGCCGGTTCTGAGCTCTGCAACGGCTGTGTGGTCGCCGGGGAATAGTAGGACGTCGTGGTTTAAGCTGCACACCTTCCAAAATAATGCACTCAGGACATCGACAGGATGCCTCCTGATGTCGCCGCAACATCACCTGCACGACGAGGGCCATATGCTCCCGACTGAGGTACATAAAACAATGCTCCGCAAGCAATTCCTAATAGGGTGTCATCGTCGCGGGCATTCGAACAGACATATGCTTGCGGATGAACCCGCGCCACAGCACAGCAGAAGTCCAGAGGTTCATAAAACAACCTCCCTGAGCCGTTAAAATACTTCCAGATAGTTGCTTCTCCATACTCAAATGCAATGCAGTTAAAATATATTAAGGAACCATCATAAAATTAGGACTATTTTGGGATTTTTAACTTTTTCATATTTTCTTCCCCAACTTTGACTATCTCTGGTGAAAAAAAATTTACTGAGCTATAACTTTACATTAAATAAAAAAATTGCTCATTTAATAAAGATTTCAGAAAGGTGCCTTTCTTACTGTTTCGAATTGAAAAAAAAAACAAGTTATAGCCGCTTTTGTGGGTAAAGGACTGAGACACGCTAGAATGTATTTAATAGATTTAAATTTAAGTTGCCCTTGTTACCGACCAATGACATGCTAAATAGTACAAAGGTACATTATTACCTGCTCGTGACATTATTTTATGTTACAACAAGGGCTATATCTATTTATCAATATTTTATGTGAAGTTGTTTGAAGAAAAATTTATTCATTTATTGATAAAATATGCTCAAATTGGCGACCTTCTACTCTTGGTGCTCGGCACCTTTTAAAAAAATACGCTTTTAGAGATCTTAAACTCAATTGGGCTATCTCAGCAGCAGCTCCATTTATTTGTTCCCGCAAATGCTCTTCGTTTTTAATTGTTTTTGAATAAATTATGTCCTTAAGACAGCCCTACTGTAAAAAATCTAATGAATTCAGGTCTGGCGATCAAGCGGGCCACGTGATTGGCCGGTATCGTGCAATCCATCGGCGAGGATAAGTTTCGTCTGAATGAACTCTTACTTCACGCCCGTAGGGAGCAGGGCACACGTCATTTTGCAGCCATAGTCTTCGCCGCAGTTTTAAGCGTACATCTTCTAAAAGAGTTGGAAGCCGTTCTTCAAGAAACTCTAAATAACTGTAAGAGTTGAGCGCTGGCGGCAGTTCCACAGGTTCCAATATCTGACAATTAAAAATACCGCACCCTAAATTTATTTTGTACCGGTACTGCGAACGATCTTTTCTCATTTCGTGAGGATTGTCTATCTGCCAACTGCGAAGGTTATGTAATTAAAATAACCATCACGTTTGCATGATGATTCATCGCTCCAAATTATTTTATTAAAAAAGTTGGAGTCTGATTCATGCATTCGCAACATTTCACTGCAAAATCTAACCCTCGACAGGTAAGCTCTTTCCTGTAGAGCCTGAACACATTGAATGTGGTAGGGATGAAATCAATGGCCTCTTAAAGCTTTGTGAACTGTAGTTTTTGGTATTCCCGTCCGTCTTTCCATCATTCTCACTGAAGTCGATGGGCCTAGTTCCACTTCCTCTAACACAACTTCAACATCTACCGTTGCAGGACGTCCTGTTTCGCCGCCACGCCTTCCAGGTATGCGACCTTAAAAAAGTGAAAAATGATAGTTAACAAGCAAGCAAACAAGAAAGGTGTGAAAATCACTTACCTTCATATATTTCTCTATGGGTCCGGGCGAATACTTCACGACCCGGATGCCGACGATTGGGGTATCACTCTGCATAGAGTCTTTGAGCAGCTCTGGCATTATAACAAGCTTCACCATAAATTAGGTGAATATCCGCATATTCATGCGACGTATACTGCGTGTTCTCTGTCATAGTATTAATCACACAATGTTCGAAGGGTCCAATTTCACAAAATCCACTTCCACTAATTCCGGTAAGTAACATAAAATAATGTCAGGAGCAGGTAATAATGAACCTTTTATACTATTTAGCATGCCATTGGTCGGTAACAAGAGCAACTTAAATTTAAATCTATTAAATACATTCTAGCGTGTCTCAGTCCTTTACCCACAAAAGCGGATATAACTTTTTTTCTATCCGAAACAGTAAGAGTGGCACCTTTGTGAAATCTTTATTAAATGAGCAATTTTTTTATGTAATGCAAAGTTATAGCTCAGTACATTTTTTTTCACCAGAGTCAAAGTTGGGGAAGAAAATATCAAAAATCCCAAATTAGTCCTAATTTTATGATGGTTCCTTAATATATTTTAACTACATTGCATTTGAGTTTGGAGAAGCAACTATCTGGAAGTATTTTACATAAAAAATTTACTAAGTATGGCCTAGTTTGTAGGTGCAGTTAAAGAAAATACATGAAAAGGCACGATTTTTTTTTTTTAATTCAAAAAAATAAAAATAACGGTGACACTTTTACCTGAAAATTTTTTGTTTATCAGAGAGCTCAGCAACAACTGCTCTGCATTCTACATACATTTCTTGGTAAAGGGGCTTTATTAAAGTAAGAGAGATTTGGCTGGAAAGTGGTAAGGACCGCCGGGTTAAGTGTAAGTTGCTGTTAAGGCAGTATTACGTGCTCCTACTTTCTTCGGGGTTAGTTTGAGAAGGTTCGACCTCTTCCTTACATCCCAACTAGAATGTTAACTTCAAAATGCCGCTGACAAAATATTTTTTTTATTTACACTTTTATTTCAACATACATTGATTAAAAGAAAATTACTGATAAAAATAAAATATTTTACACAAACAGGGTTGAAATTTTGAAATTTCTGCCCGTATTTTGTTTGTAAGTCAAATATTAGTGGTATTGTGGTACTATGATAACACGGCCGAGTAATCATAGTAACTTATATACAGTAGTCGAATAAATTATAGCCGCACCAAATTTTGACAAGTTTTAAAATATTATTTTTGTTGTTATTTAGTTTTGGTTATTTTTTTACCAAGCTTTTGACTACGAAAACAAAAATTGTCCCAATTTTTTTATTTTTGTACCAATAGCCCAATAATTTAAAAATGCACAAATCTGTACAAATGTACCAATCGAGTGACACTGCCTTAAAGATTTATGCAATTCAAAAAAAATTCAACGAATTTTCGTAAAAATTTCCAGTTTTTAATTAGTTTCTGAGTATGCAATTTTGTAGCCCATTGAATTCTAGTAGAATAAAGTACAAGTTTCAAATGGCTAAAAATTACGGTTGATTTTTTAGAATTTTTAAAAAAGCTCGAAATTTGTACGAAAGTTTGTTGAATGTTTTTAATATTGCACAAAGAAAACCTACAACCCTCCCCCCCTAAATACGGCCTTGGTTATATGTATATACATATATAGATATTATGCATATACAAATGCATGCATGACTTTATAATATGACTTTGTATCACCTTTTTATATATGCAGGAATATAAGATTTCCGATCATAGACCCTTTTTGGACTTCCATGAGAGTGGCTTACCCAAGTGTGAGCAGGTCAAATTTGTTCGGTTCTTGGGACAGGGACTACCAAATTTGACACTCAACAAAATATATCTCTCCTTCAAGGATTTATTGGGAATGAACCGCATTGAAAAGTGAGTTTTTATGAACATATAAAAATCTGCATACAGCCAAATATGTACATCGAAATAACACTCGATTTTCCTATTTAACTGTAATTGACAGAACGAATTCAGATGGCTATAATTTGGATTTCATCTTAAAAAAGAAGAAAAAGAATTTATACAACCGTATGCAATCTGCAGGTATACAGTCGCCAGACTGCTTTTCAACTTATAATCCGCACCACTATACGACTAATTCGGCAAATGATTTTAATCAAACACGTCAATTTTTTCCAAATTTGTCTATTCCAATTTCATGTGCTTCCAAAATGCTTTAGTTTCATTTTAGGCACCGTTAAAAATGTTATGACAGATTAAAATCAATTTCTTCAATTACAGTACATAGAGAAAGCATTGAATCGGGGCAACCGACCCCTACTCAACAGACCTCCGCACAACTGACGCATCTTGATGGCTTCAAGACCTAACAATAACCATTACATTGGTTAAAGCTATTTTTACTGCTTACAATATGGTGGAGAGAAGAGGAGAAACCGGAACAAAATCACATGAAATTATACTTCCTGGAACTGGACCCGAAACTGTTGTGTCTTCAAAAATTCATGCAAACAATTATGTTAAAAATTTAAATATTCATAAGTGCTAAAATTTAAGTTATTGGCAGTTGAATATGTACATACATACATAGACACCCATGTATGTGTATAAGTATGTAATTTGAAAATTTGTTTTTGATAAAAAATTTAAAATGAAAGGAATATCAAAATGAAAACTAAGCCAAAAGCTAATAAAAGAACCTAAACGAAATTTTCAAAATAATATGCGTGTTATAGAATTACACTGCATAATAAAAATTCATATTGAAGCATATGAAACCAGTAACTTTATAGTTATAAATGTTAGAATTAAAAAAAAAAAACTTCCAGCAAATAAGGATTAGACCAGTAACCTCGAACGATTAAACAATCAAGCTATTTTCGGTTAATATATACTTACATAGGTATACATAAATGCATAACTTTTTACTTTAGTGGATAAATTCAATACCTACAACAATGAATCCACTTTAGCAAATTGACAAAATCAATGCAATTATTTTTATTTATACACATGGGCTGAATCACGTCAAATGTCCTAAGCGCACTGAGCGGTACAAAACAAGTAACTTTCGACAAGCTGTGAAACAGACAGAAAATGGGAAAAACAATTCGAAAACTATTAATAATATTAATGGATTGGTGCTTACACATGGGTTATGGTCTGATTATGGCAACTTAACGTAACTTACGGCTCTCTCTTAAAAATTCTGTTAAATGGGTGTTGCTTATAATTGAACAGCCGAAACTTAATGCAACTTAATGCCACGTCGAAATCTGTTTCATTTTAATTCTCTAAGTTCTACGTACCGTTAAATTAAGTTAAGTTGCCATAATCAGGCTTTTAGTGTTTGGCCGAACTTCTCCTTCGATTTGTGGCGTGCGCCTTGATGCTGTCCATAAAGGGGAAGCGCCACACCGCAGCGGCCACCAACTATTAGCCCAGTAAATTTAGATCAAATTCGTACGAAGAAAAAAATTGTAGTAGCGAACTTCGCTAAGCGATCTCTATATCTAAAAGTTGTGTTTTCGTATTCTCCAGCAAAAAATATCCAATAACTTGCCAGTAACCAAATTTAGGAGAGTAAGTCAATATTTACTCCCAATGAGAGGAATATGCAAGAAAGTACGAAAACACAAAACCAGTAAGAAGTTGCAAGTTTTATGAACAGCTGATTAATTTGTTATTTTCCGATGCAATCTTCTAAGAAAAATAGTATTTCCCGTCTTAATATATATTTAAATAGGTTTATTTTGTCAACTGCAACTCTAAAAGCACCACAAACAATTCTTTTGGTAATGTGAATTGCATTAAGCATCAATCTATCAGCTGTTTTTCTTACTAGCAAATAGTTACTAGTAAAAATTTATCCAGTAAAAATCCAGTAAAACTTGCAGGTTCATCTGTTACTTTTGCTCTCTCAATTCTCTCTCTTTTGTTGGTTTCTTATGATTCGTTACTTCGAGTCAGGGGTTGTACCCGTTACTCAGTAACGTATATATACGGTTTGCTACAGCTCTAATCCACAGTCTTGCCCCTAAACTTCACATGGGAACATTCCGCCATCTTCGATTTTTTATACCTTTCATGAGCATGAAATGGTATTATAACTTTGGTCCAATGTTTGTAAGTACCAGAATAAGAAGAGATAGACCCATTAAAATGTATACTTAAATTGTCAGAACGGCGAGCTGAGTCGATTTTGCCATGTCCGTCTGTCTGTCTGTCTGTCTGTCCGTCTGTTTGTATGCAATCTAGTCTCTCAGTTTTCGAGATATCCGGATGAAATTTGGTAGGTGAATGTATTTTTATAATGTATTAATCATTTGTCGGAACCAGAAGAATCGAACCACTATAACATATAGTTCCCATACAACTGATTGTTCAGATATGAGATTTTTCGTTATAACCTCTCTATTTACCCAGCTAAGAACATGACATTTTGCAATACTTCCTCCCATAATCAACTGAAATTTTAGAGTGAAAATTACAAAGATCGGGTCACTATAACCTATAGCTCCCATACAACTGATTGTTCAGATATAAGATTTTTCGTTATTACTCCTCCATTTAAGTAGCTAGGAACATGAAAATTCGCACCGTTTTCACTCATTATTTACAGAATAGTGAAAATAGCAAAGATCGCGTTTCTATAACATATATCTCCCATACAAGTGATTGTTCAGTTATGGGAATTTTCGTTATAACTCCTACATTTATGCACCTAGGAACATGAAATTTAGCAATACTTCCACCCATTAACAACAGAATACACAGTGAAAATAACAAAGATCGGGTCACTTTTACATATAGCTCCCATACAACTGATTGTTCAGATATGCGAATTTTTGTTATAACTACTCCATCTATGCAGCTAGAAACATGGAATTTCGCACTATTTTCACTCATTATCAACAGAAAGTTTACAGTAAAATTAACAAAGATCGGGTCACTATAACCTGTTTATTGCCCCCATACAACTGACTGTTCAGATGTGGGGTTTTACTGTAAAACTCCTTTATTTGGACAGCTAAAACCGATAAATTTCGTAAGCTATTTTTTAAATAATAATACAAAGTCTACTGAGAAAATCGTCAAATCTGTGCTGTATAATCTTAATCTCTTGTACCACTGATTGTTCAGATACCAGTTTTTGCGATATATGTATCTCCTTTATGTAGGAAGCTAAACTCATTAAATTGTGTTACCGATTTACGTACCGATCACACAGCAGTGAAAATCACTTAGATTGGTGCTTTATAAGGTATATCTTCCATACCTCTGATTGTTTAGATATGATTTTTTATATATGTATCTCCTCTATCTATGCCTGCTGCGAATATATAAATTTATTCAAATGCAGTAATCTGTTACAAGTAAAATTTTCAGATGCTCATGAAAGGTATGAAGCCTTCGGCATAGCCGAAGACAGCGCTGCTCTTACTTGTTTTTTTTGTTTGGTTTTTTGCGATTTGCAAGCTTATTTTACATTTTTCGTAAAAATTGTTACATACAAGTTTGTAGAGAATTTAATTTCACACATTTTTATATTACATACATATCGTCGTTTAAAGTACAAAACCGCGTATCAACAAAATGCTAAACCGCGTATCAAGATAATGCAAAACCGCGTATGTGAAGTTGAATAAATTATTTTCTAGAGAGTAAAAACACTCATATTTCAAAATGGTTCTCTTTTTTATAAAGCAATCGCATTTCTGGCTAGCATAGTTCAGCGCGAATTGATAAGGAGTAAGCCAAGAGCTTCTGTGAGCAAATCCAATTTTTGGCAGCAAATGTCAGTCACGCGGTTTTGCAGAATGACGATATGCGGTTTTGTACCTTAAACGACAATATGTATGTATAAGTGAAAAAAAAATGTTGTAAATATTTAGCATAAACGCCGAAAAAATTTACGTTGTCACGGTTTTCGCCATTTTTCAACAATTTCTGGCACATTAAAGTGCCAAAGTTGTATAGAATTTTATTCTCCACAACTTTTGTACGGACATTTTTTTTTTGTACGATGCTTAGATCACGAACGAGAGCGTGCCAAACATAACGATGTTAGGGAAGCGGCGTAAAATTCATTTCCACATCACGTCAACCTTTACAGAACGATGGCGAAAGTTCTATAGGACGGATTACAAAGATTAAGGTGTCAAAATGGTCACATAGACGCCATCCATCAAAAACAGTGTGACGTTTTGAAAAATTCGACATGGTGTCTCAAATAAGACGTCTAAACTTACCGTAGATTAGATTTCCCTTTACAACTTTTGTGCCAGCGGAGAACCCAACACTAAAAAAAGAACAAGTAATTTGTAAGCAAAAAAACCAAACCGACTTATATTCTCATAGACAAACTTAACAATACCGTTCATTTTTCATGATCCAATGATCGGATCTAAATCAAATTAGTATGGGACCATTTCCGAGGCACCACCAAAATTATAGAATCCGAAAACTACAGCTACGTGGTAACCAGGGTGGTTTTACGTTTAAAACGTTCAGTTAGACATAATGAGATAAACTTATATAGTCATATGTGGGCGGTATCACGCCCATTTTCCAAAATTCCAAATAATGTTACTTCTTTTCAAAGGATTGTTGGTAGTATCAATTTTGAGTAAATTAGCGTCCTTAAATTTCGAAATGTCGAAGTTTCAAACATTTATGAAATTTACCGTTATATGAAAGTGGGCGTAATTTTAGTCCGATTTCAATAATTTTTAACGTTTTGCTGTTATGTTGCAAACGAAATAATCTTACCAAGTTTGGTACAAATTGATCGAATGGTTACCGAGATACACATACCTAGTCATAAGTGGGCGGTGCCACGCCCATTTTCCAGAATTGTATCATAAACGAATTTTTCGAATAAAGTAGCTTCTGCATTTACTGATTTATCGAAGATTTCGTATTTCTCTAAATTACCGTACTGTACCAAGGAACAACTGTGCAAAGTTGGGGAGAAATTGGTGTAGCGGTTACTAAGTTATACACAAGTAATCATAAGTGGGCGTGGCTACGCCCATTCTCCAAAAATTTCTAATATTCTTATTTTTCGTCTAAAAACCAGGTGACAGGTAATAAGGTCAATGGAAATAACGTCGCACCAGGGTGGGAAATAAAGTCAATTGACATTATTACCTTTTCAAAAGCGAAATAAAGTCAACAAAAATTTGGAAATAAAGTCATTGGCGCTATTTCCTCATTCAAATGGAAATAGCGTCAACAATGCTTAAAGTATGTCGATTCATAGAAAAAAATTTTGTTCTTACAATAAACATTGCCCCGTAAGTGTTGTTTTTTAATAGATGAAAAAGGTTATTGCCAAATTTTATTAAAAAAAATTAAATTACGAATATGTAAAAACACGATGCGAAAAACTAAACGCCTGCGCACAGCTGGAATACGAGAAATATTTGAAGAAAGAGTGTAGAAATGATCCATAACTTGCAAAACATGTTTCGTTTCCACAAAAATAAATCGAATACTATTAAATTGAAGAAACAGTCCATGTCCAAAACCCCCGCAGGAACACTGAAAGAATTCTGTGTTTTATTTTAGCATATTTTGAACCAATTCGGAATATCTAAGGTGGAAAAGAAACCAACTTTTCTATAAGGAAACAATTATAGAAAAAGAATTTTCTTACACTGTATTCATGTCTCCGCCAGCAATTTGTGACATCATTTAAAACCAGCGAAGGAGAATGACGACACTATTTATTAGATGGCACATTCAACGAGCCAATGTGCCAAAATGCGGGTATAAACAATTATTGATTATTTAATATCGGAACCGAGATCATATAAGTTAATTGATTGGTTTTCACACACTTTTGAAAAACAAATTATATGCTTTTTTACTGCAGACAAGTTGTTGCCCCAAAACACAGCAGAAATCTTCCAATTAGGGCTGGCAACTATCCTTAGTTATGAGGTGCCATATTGAGGATAAAAAAGTGCCAAAATGTGCCAAATA